TATAGTGGATACTCCATATTTGAAATAGATGACAACCCATTTTATTTATTAAACCATGTATATTATGTCTATCAGCCTTCAGGTTTGAGATATCTTAGTTAAAAAAAAAAAAATGGATTCCATGGCAGGGATCACACCTGCATCACCATTTGTAGAGGGGAATCACCATTTGATTTAGTGCACTTTAACCACTCGGTCACAAAGAATGATGTAGCAAGCAAGCTTCTGTTTCCCCTTTTTAGGGAGGACATTCTAATCACCCAGATTATTTTCTTGAAAGCTTCATATCAGCTCGGTTTCATTTCCAAAACATAAACAAAGCAATTTCTAAAGAATTATTGGATTTAAAAAGTGAAAATAGAACCTTGCTAGCTGTGTCATTCCCCATGGTAGACTTTTGTGACCCTACTAGAGATGATGTGGTGGAAGTTTAGTAGTTCTTAACTTTTTCTTTACCATCACCTCTTTTCTGTGACTTGTCACCCTATATTAAAATTGCACTGGTAAATGGAGCAACAGAGTTAGTCACATGCTTGTTTTGTTGTATTGTAGCAGTGAAACTGCTAGGAAGTAAGCTGTGGCAGAAACAACTATTAGCTGTCACACTATGCCAAATGACAAAATCAACTGAACTTTGCCTTGCAGGTTTATGCACTATATATATATATATATATATATATATATATATATATGCACATTGCAATGGCAGTGACTTTTTAAATCTAAATATATATAGATAAAGAGGTAAATGTGTATATAAAATTTTATACTTTGTTGCAATCAAGGATTCAAATGGTAATGTAAATATTAGCCATTTCCTTATAAGAAAATATTCATCATTCATTGACCGAGCAGCCAATGCTACTTTGGAGACTCTTTACACATCAGGCATATGTATCAAGGGAATTCCAAACTGAACAGAGGGTATCTGTGAACATGGCAATAAAGATAAGGACAACAATGTAAATAATGTGAACAGAGGTTAATTAAAATAAGTCTCAAATATCCCAAAGTTTTATTCAATTTCTGCTTTGTCTCCAAAATCTCGATTGTTTTCAGATTTATCTTTGTTAAATATTCAACCAGTGATCTTGTAGTTTCTCTTCCAGGTCTGTAACTAGTGAGTTTTGATGTGATGCAGTTTCTACTTAAATATGTTTGAAGAAAGATATTTTGTAATTCAAATATTTTTAGTTTTATAATCATGATCCTTAATGTATACACATTATTTATCAACAAGAATCTTTACCTTTCACCAATTCAAAACTAAGGAATTGTTATATAATCCTATCAATGTTTGATTATAAATAGCACTTTCATTCATTGGCTTACTCAGCTCTGCATAATCGCTTAATAACAATCATTTAAAGCACGGCACCTGTTGAAAAAAAACAAATAATTGCAACATTACAGAATTGTTTAAACTTTTAAAAGGCTATAAAGCCATTTATTGAGTATAGAATCTGTAAAAACTTCTGGCTTAGATGAGAATTTAGATAAAAACTTGTTAATAAAGATTCCTATTGAGAACTGAAGCAATTTGAATGGAATATGAAAAAATACATAAGCTGAATTGCAATGAGCATTGTTAAGCCAAAAGGCAGCAACTGTGACAATGTTCTCTTTCCTCTCTCTCATGCGTGGTATTATGATTATAAAACTGAACTAGACCATAACATATGCAGTATGGCTGATGGTTGTCCCCTCTTAGGGAGTGTTTGCGATGGTGGTTCCTTTTACTTGCCCCCACCCCAACTTTTGCATTAGTATTATCAAGTTCCCCACTATTCTTACTTTTTTTTAAGTTTGCAAGAATTTTAGTTAATCTGATTTTTAAGTAGGTTTTTATATTTTCCGAGGTAAGACTTCATAAAAAAATTGTATTGGATTTAAATTATAATAACTCTTACATTAAAAAGAAAAATCCATTTCTTTATTTTTGGTTTAAAGTGTTTATCCCATTGGTTAATCAGCAAATGATTTTTAGTGTTTTTTTTTTGTTTTGTTTTTTTTGTTTTTTTTTTTTTGTTTTTGTTTTTTTGGTTTTTTTTTGTTCCCCTCCCCTATCTAGCATTCTCCAATATTAACTTTCAGGTTTTAGATAAAATGAAAACTATTAATGAAGAAAGTAATTTTATGTGTTTATTTGATTATCTTTAGGATCTGAAAGATTTGTTTTAAGAGGGTAAAAAGGGCAGGGTAATGTGGTAAAAATGAGTTTGGTGGTCCATCCCAGCAACAGAATAATGTCAAATATAACCAATTTCATAAATTACACCACCACACCAGTCGTAAAATAACAAGTTCAAAATAGTTTTGTCTCTAGCGAACCAGAAATTATTTCTTTTTAATTGGTAAAAAAATAGTTGGTTTGAATTGTAAATTTTTTTCTTTTTTTTTCTTTTTGATATGGGGGCATTATTCAATTTACAAAATCACTGCCTTTACCTTAAAAATCAAATTACAAGGACATTTGTACACAGTTTATTTTTTTTGTGTGTGATTTGTAAATTCTTAAAATCTTTATAATAAAGTTTAATATAATGTTAACACATTTCAACTAGAGAAAATATTTTTATAGAACATAAAGTGCAATGATTTTAATTTTTTTTAATGAATTAATAATAATTTAACATTTGAGTTATTTGTCAGTTCAGTTGTTCTTGTCTATTTAAGTTTTTAAAATGAGTCCCTAAAAATTGTTTTTCAAAGGGAGGGAACTCTTAAATTTTGAACAACATGCATTCCATTTCCACCTATAGCTGTTACTACAATTTTCTGACTTGATTAAATAGTCAATTTATTTTCATCAGTTTTTTTTTTTTAATCAGTGAACAAACAGGTTAAATATCAAGCTGTAAATCTAAGTAGTATTCCCCCCCCACACACACACACACACATTTGTATTTTTAACTTAAGTGTTTTGTTTTGGGGGTTTTCTGGAAATAGGTGTCAAATATTCTGATATGTGTGATGTCAATAAACATGTTTATAATTAACTAGTTTAATAGCCGCCCTATTGGGTGGCATCTAAGCTTGTTCCTGCAGATGGCTACTTGATACTTCATGCATTCAGTGCATATTAAATTTTATTAAATTTGAACAATATTTTTCAAACAATAATTTGTTTTATTTGGAATTTATGGCAAAGCTGCATGATAAAAAAAACATTTCTGTTTTTCCTATTTGAGGTCAGTACAAATGGCTTGTTTCCATTCCCAGCCCTTGAACAACCATCATAGAGCTGGCCGTAAGAAAAGGTTCCATCAGACGAAGTCCAATTACTTTCAATGATTGTCCTTGGGACTTATTGATTGACATTGCACAACTCACTGGAAACTGAAGTCTTTTGAACTCAAGAGGAAGATCTGCAGGAATTAAGGGGATTCTTGGAATTAAAGCTCTTTCCTAGAGATGAGGAAGCATCTTCTTGATAATTAACCTTGTTTCATAAAGCTTTGGAGGATCCAGATTTCTCAATAGCATAACTGGCACATTTTCATTTAGATTCAGCTTGTGTGATGGCATTCCAGGAGAATTCAATGAGTTCAGGAATTAGATAATTCACTTCCTGTTTTTGTTCAATCACAATGTCAATGAAAAAGTACTTCATGCTTTCTTCTGGAATTTCTTGAAGAAGTTGATGCTGTCCACAGTTTGATTCTTGGGAGCTAATATGACCCTCTCACAAAGCCAGTTTGAATCCCAGAAATGGTGTTTAATGTCTGGATAAACATGATCAATCAAGTCTTGGATACTTGGGAAATATGTCCATTTTGGTGGTTCTATTGCCAAGCTGCAACAGCAAAACAGCAAGTCTTCCTGCTTCAAAGTCACCTGTAATTCTAACTCTGATGTTTGTTTTCAGGCTGAGTTTTGAACATCCAGATATAAGAATTTTTCAGACAAGCATTGATTTCATCAGCTGGAGTTTCTCTTGCAATGACTGGCAATGTTTGTCTAAATTACCAGACATAGCACAATGATACCTCCCATGATCTTGAGTGTTTTGTCCAGGGACCCAAATGCTCATTTGTGTGCCATGGTACATTCATTGCAGACAATGAAGCTTGTAACCTCCAATATCTTAGCTAAGTCAGTTCCTCTCTTGATGTTGCAAATCGGGGTTTCAGTGTATTTCAAATTGAATGGAAGTTTGAAGGTACTGTGTACTGTACACTCTCCAAGCAAACTTTTTCTTTTAATAAAAATTTAATGAAATATTAGCATATTTTTAACACTTGTCTCTCTCTTTTTTTTTTTTTTTTTTTTTTTATATAAACTGGTTCTCGCATTAAAACAGTACAAAATGGATTTTTCTAGGGAGCTTGGGACCATGAGAGTTATGCACATCATAAAAGGATTCTTTGGAATTGTTCTCATAACCATCAAAGTGTAGAAACACACTGTAGATGCAAGGAATTTGGTGATTGTTTAGATGAGTGTTAGAATTAAATAACTTCCTCATCATTTTTACTTTGGTAAAAATGATGAAGTTATTTGATTTTTCAAATGACTTGGTTGACAACAAAAATCAGCAAAGTTATGAAGCATCTTTTAAAAATGCCAAGAAAAACTAGAATTGTCTATTGATCTTAATTTGAATGAAAAACATTTTTATGAACTATCGGTTAATTTTTTTTTTCTCTCATTGTTTAAAACTTGTTTCATTTTTTTTTTTTTTTTTTTTTACAAGATCTGCTTTCAAAGCTATTCTACCACAGAATGTCTGATTACACACCTTTTTTATTCAATTGAATATAACGACCAATAAATGAAGCAAACAGCTGTAACTCCAATTCATAAGTAGTGACAATGCAATATATTTATTGCCTCTAAATACAATAATTTAAACTGTGACTTTCGGTATATTTCAAGCAAACTATTAGTATGGTAAAACATTTAGTAGAATGCAAACAAATTCTGAGAATCCTAAAACATTTTTGACTGTAAATGTTAATATTTTAGATGACAATTCTTAAAAAAGTTTATCTTTCTAGGTTTAGAAAAGATTGGTGATAATCAAGTAGCTGTTTTGTTACTGGCTGGGGGACAAGGAACTCGCCTGGGTGTGGACTACCCAAAAGGCATGTACAGTGTTGGCCTTGCTTCAAATAAGACACTCTACCAATTGCAAGCAGAACGTATACTTAAAGTTCAGCAGTTGGTCAACAAAAAATGTTCAGTTATCTGGTGAGTAAATGATTTTTCTTTTATTCTCCAAATTGTTTAGAAAGTATTTTTTTACTCAATCTAATCTTTTTTCTGGCAAAGTAGTTTTGTGTGTGTATGGGGTGGGGTAATGGATAGCAGCTTCAAGTGAGGAATCTGAGAGCTGTGGTTGAATTTCAATTGATTTTATTACATTCAATTACATGCACTCTTGGGAAAACTATTAATCCATCACTTCTCCCCCTCCTATGTAAATAGCAGGACAGACTGTGTCATATAGCCTTGGGTGGCAACTGGTCTGTAAGGAGAATTCTGAATTCAAAACCTCAAACTATAGTTTAAGTAGCCTTACTAACCCACAGTTGGCCAAGCGTAATGAGTACAGATACATCCCCTGAAGACATTGGATCACTCAGGGCACGGTTCCTCCAAGGAGTGAGAAGGCTCTGGGTCAGTTCTAATAAGCTCTCATTCCCGGTACTTATATATATATATATATATATATATATATATATATATATAGTGAAGAATTTTATAAAGGAATTGGTTATGAATAAATGAGAAAGATTTCTGATATGCTTAACATGTCAAAATGAAGAACGAAGAAAAACTAGTCTGTTTATGTAGATGCTATTTTGTTCTCATAACAAGATGCATTTTTGTCTATTTAAATGAAGCTAAGTCAGTTGCTAAGAAAAATGTTCTCATCTGAAATGATGGTAAATAACAATGACATCTTTATCAAAAAGTCATCTAATCCATGAGACAAGAAAAAAGCCGGGACAAACTGCAAATTTCCCAAAGCAGACGAGAAAATGCTACTTGTCAAGAATATTCACCTTCAAAGTGTTTTTTTTTTTTTTTCTTCTCCTCTAGATTTCAGCTGATTATTCAACTAATCTTTTTATATTCAGTTAAATCTTAATAATTCTGACAAAGAAACAAAAGCAATAAATCAAAGCAAGTTGTGTAGGTGGGTTTGTCAGAATTTTTTTTTTTTCTCCATGACATTTCATGTTAATATTTTATTACTTTGTTTGGCCTCTTTGTTACTTACTTCTTGATTTTTTGTTGTTTTTTTTTTTATTTTCATCATCTTCTGCATCATTGAGCATCTTTCATTTGTGAAATTAAATGTTCTTTTCCTGCAGCACATGACTTGCTTTGCTTCACTCTTTCTCCATGTTTTTTCTTTTCTAGCAGAAACAAAAAACCTAAAATAGATTTGATTTGCATAAAATAAAACCTAGCCTTCTTGCACATATATTCACAGAAAGAAACTAAGTTTCTTAATTTTTCACTTGTTTAAATATCAGAAATTGAAGAATGTAACAAATTAAATGTCAAAATAGGAATCAATTTTTTTTTTTATTTTTTTAATACGCTCAAAAGAATTCTCTAAAATCATTCAGAGTAAAATTCTCTATAAGAATATTTTGGGCTACAAAGGGGAATTATTACATTTAATGCAATTCTTAAAATTTTGCTGATGAACATCAAATGAAAATTCATGACAGAAATAAAAATATTCAAATTTCTTTTGCATTGCATCCACTGTTTCTCTTTTCAACTGGTTTCTTTTCAGTTTTGTTTTTGTTGATTACGCTTTGTTCTCTGCTGTTATGTTACTAACATTAATCTTACTTTCCAAAGCCAGGTTTTTTCCTTCATCCAATAGGATCTAAACTTTTCTTTTTAAGGAGTTTGTTTTTTTTACTGCAAGGCAAGTTGCTACAAAGAGATTTGATAATCTAACCTACTAAATAATATTAGCAATTCCCAACTTCCCTCAAAACATCTAAGAAAATGCTTCTGAACTAATACTATGAAATATTTTTGTTTCTTTTCATACACATGAAATGGTTGAAAACTTTCATCTTCTTGCTCTTTCTCTTTACAGGTATATCATGACAAGTGAACATACAAAACAACAGACTGAGAAATATTTTGAAGCAAATAATTATTTTGGTTTGGACAAAGAAAATGTTGTTATATTTGAACAATTCCTGCTACCCAGCATGACATTTGATGGCAAGATTATCAAATCTGCTAAGGATAAACTTGCATTATCTCCAGGTTATTATCCGGACATATTTCTCTTTTTTTTTCTTTTTTTTTTTTTCTCAAGTCTTGACTTTTTACTTATCTTTTGATAATAGTCACTTTGTATTTCATGTCAATCTTAACAGTTCGCTTCCTGAAATAAAAAGCCAAACTAGCATCAAAAAGACATTCCATTTAACTCGAAAAATAATGTTGTTCTTGCTTTGTTCATCAAAGCAAACTCTATTATCAGATTGATTAAATATTCCTGAAATCTTTGAGAATTTACTAAAAAGTAATAAAATATCTGACTCTTTTTTTTAATTTGAAAATATTTGTTGGATTCAGGTGCCATCATAAAACATTGTCCAATGTTCAAGAGAGTTGGAATTGGTTAATTGTCCTTTGGTTACTGCTCAGATATTGTTATGGCTGACTTTGTCCAGGAACTGAACTCACAATTACTATGTTCCCAGTTTATTCAGAAAGCACCTGAACTCTGCCAATGACCGTAACTACAAAGATGAGGACACTAGTTCAACTATTAATTACATTATTTCAGGAATTAAGACTTCATCAGGAATATTGCATCTGTTAGTCTTTGAATGTCGTGTGTGTGTGTGTTTTTAAACCTCAGTTGTTTATTAAACAAATTTTACTGCTTATATATAGTGACAGCAAAATTAAAGGGATGCTTGTGGTGAGAGTAATGAAATAATCATGGTTGTCATGCCAACTGCATGTTTTGGTTTTCTTTTTACCTCCCCCCCCTCCTACCCAAGGCATTCACTGTTGCTTGCCACTTTGCACCTTTGTGGGGGAGTGGATTGATTTTACAAATTAATTCTGTAAATTTCATTTCCAACATTTTTTTAGTAAATCTTTGCTCTCAGTTTATAAATCTTAAAATGAAAATGGATTGTCAGTGGTCATGAATGAATGCAAGAATTACCAGCAAAAAATAGGGATTATCATATGTAAATGAATTGCTACTGATTTTATAGCAAAAACATTGCAAATCAGGAAAAAAAAGTGTTGTCTGTAGTCATGAATTACTCTTTTCAACAGAATAAATCTAGACACAAAGAAATAATCAAACATTAACAGCTGCAATCTCCAAACACAACAGGAATCTCTCACACACACATACACACTTTGGTTAGGTGGATCTTGTGAGCCCAGGAAAACAACCCATCTATGAGGAGAAAAACCCTCCATTGCCTTGTAGTCATATCCAAACACAGAAAAAGCTATGGAAGTAAACCCAAACAGAAAAAGCTATCAACACTGACAAACTTTCAGCAACTCCTGCAGCCAACCCAGTCTCAAATGCAATGCCATGTATTCTTTTGAATCTTGTAAGTATGGCTGAGAGGTGGCAGTGATGGTGGTGGGGGGTGGGCATGTTGTTTAGGTAGCACACATATACCATCATCCAGGCCTGTACCCTGGAGAGGTCACTCCAGTCTCCCCAACCAAAGGACTAAATTTTGATCAACTTAACATGCTACCATTACTTCACAAAATAAACAGATGCCTGTTACACCCCCCACCACAGACACGAGAATAATAGTTGAAATAACTTATAATAATATGTTGTCATATTCTTATAGATGGAAATGGTGGCTTGTATCGTGCCTTGAGGGACCGTCACATCTTTGAAGATATGGAAAAGAGAAATATCAAATACATTCATGTCTATTGTGTGGACAATATCTTAGTCAAAATGGCTGACCCAGTCTTCATTGGTTACTGTGTGAGTAAAGGAGCCGATTGTGGGGCAAAGGTAAATTGAATTCTCAAATTGATTCTCCAATAAAACTGACAAAATTATTTTGTTGCATTGGTATCATTTATTCAGTCACATATGTATATCTGGCTGAATAAGAAGGGAAAAATTAAACATTGAATTCAGACAAGTACTAAGAAAATTCCTAATTACCTGATCCAAAGAGTATCATCTTTTATTAGGACACTGCCAGACCCCATGTCTCTTTAGTACAAATTATGTCTTTATTAGGATATCCTGATATACCCACAGTACTTATCTGACCTTTGAACCTTTGGATTACCACTGATTTCAATTCCTATAAATTTCTCTTAATGAGAAGAGCTTCAATTCTCTGGAATCTTGTAAAAACTATTTAGACCAATTCATCAGGCAGAAAGATGCCAAATTCTTGGAGGTTAGTATCATGAAACTGCCTCAAAGATGGCAAAATATAGTGAGAACAAAATGGCACATATGTGACTGAATAAATCTATGTACACATATCTAAATATATCTTTTGAAATTCACTTAAAAACACTATGAACTTTTGTCCTGATCCAATATTAATCCATTATCCATTTCTGTTCTAAATATTGCACTGTAGCTATCAGTTTCATTAATCATGTTAAATTCCATTTCTCAAAGCAAGAGTATTTAACTTTTTTCTTCTTTTTTTTATTTTTTTATTTTTTTTTTTTTTTTACATTTTTGCTGTTTGAAATTTCAATCTATAATTATTCAAACTTGTCATATTTTCTACCTGAATATCAAAATATCAAAATATAAAACCGCTTTCAGAGGATTTTTCTTTTAGTTATAATTTTATAACTATATAACTACCAACAGGTTGTAGAAAAGGCATTCCCTACTGAAGCTGTTGGTGTTGTGTGTAAAGTTGGGGGCAACTATCAAGTTGTTGAGTACAGTGAAATAACTTTAGCCACTGCAGAGAAACGCAATGATGATGGACGCCTAATGTTCAGCGCTGGAAACATCTGCAATCATTTTTTCACCACAGAATTTCTCCACAAAATCTTAGAGTAAGTTTGTTTTTTTTTCTCTATTCTTCCTTGTCTTTGTATAGGACAATATGCATTCTTGTCTGTTTTGTTGTCTTATATAAGCAATTCTTTCCTACTTTGATGGGGGATTACAGCAAATACATCACCCACTTGTCTTTTACCTCCTCCTCATGACTTTTCTCCTCCCTTTCCTTTCCTACACCATCCATGCCACTACCTTCTCTAACTGTTAACTTGGGTGGCTTTGTATCAGTTCAGGGTGAAAGTGACATTTTATTAAAGCCATATGCTGTAATTATTTGTGGACTCCAATATGAGTGGGTGGGGGCTGAGGTGGGAGTTCTGAAGTTTGTAAATTCCTTATGTCAATTTTTAGTGTCCCAGATATAACCTTCTTGATAGTGTATGTAAATATAAAAGCAGACCTTGAGCAGCAACAGTCTGTTTCATGATTGACCACAATCTTCAGGCCATTGGAAGATTGTAGTCAAGCAGGGAACACTGTCGCCATTTAATGCGGATCTCAGTATCCACTTATATAATCTTCATTGTCTACTGATTGTGCAACTACAGAAAGTTGTAGAAGGAATCGGCCAATATGTGGTAAGTACAAAATCAACCCAAGCTTCTGTGCTTTGGTTGCCATAGTTACTATAAAGACACATGCAGACGCGCACACACACACACACACTTTTATGCACTTGCTTCTACACTTCTATGAATGTCCTATAAATTTTTTTTACAGATTGTCTCCTGCCTGTAATGATTTAAGCTTCTCGTGACCCCTTTGTCATATATTTATTCTCTTTTGTATCTATATTTAGTAAATAAGTAAATATAGATATATTTACCTGCTCTTGTCATTTTTGCAGAAAACATGAACCTGAATTGAAACATCATGTTGCAAAGAAGAAGATTACTTGTATTGATGAAAAAGGCAATCAGTTCATGCCCACAGAACCAAATGGAATCAAAATGGAGAAATTTGTCTTTGATGTCTTCAGACTTTGCGAGTAAGTTCTCTAAACTTTACCCCTAGAATTCAAAATTCAGTAAAGACATATTGTAAGATTTTTATGAATTAATTGATAGAATTATTTACAATTCTTAAATCTTGTTTTTGGGAGTTTTTGTTTTTTTTTTTGTTTTTTTTGTTTTTTTTATAAATGACAAATTTTGTCAGTTTTCTCATTTATATAATATTTTTCACCTAAACACTCAAATAAAATATATCACTGTCAAGAAAAAACAGAAATCAAAGAAAAGTTGACACATTTCAGATTTTCTTTATTTGTATATCTATTACAAATTAACTGCTAAATAGAAAATTTTATTTTACCAATTGCTTTCTGGGGTTTTTTTTATACAAGTTTACAGCTAGAAGAAAATCTATTATTAAAGTAATGACTAAATCTGGTTTGCTTGATCTCGAAACCTTTTCTTGTGCATAACCTGTAATTCTATTAATTTTCATAACAGCAAAAATGCGACTGAATATTTTACTTGCTAAAAATGAGATGCCGCTTTCAATTTCAAGGGAGATAAATCCTGACTGAGTTATCTAACTTAACTAACCTAATCTGGCAATGGTATTGACTCTTGTTACAATTGTTTTAATCTTTAATTATTCTTGGACTAAATACGAATTGTCGTTTTGTTCAGTTCAATAACAGGATCTTGAAATTAAAGTTCTAAAAACAATTCTAAATTATTCTGACTTTATCATGAAATTTTTTTCATATTTAATGAATTTTATTAGCCACTAAGAGTATTTTTTTTGTTGCTGTTGCTAAATTGCAATATGGGATAAAAGTTAGTCCGGAATAGAAGTGTATTCTCTCTTCATCCAATAAGCTTTTGCTTTGTGGGGAAAAATCAATTAATGCCTTGGCAGAATTAGTCTCACCTGATGAGGCCGATTGGTGGTGGAATTCTTCTTTTATTGCTATGGTCGGCTTAATAAAAATAATTTCTAATAAATTCCTGGTCCAAAGCTTCATCAGAAGTTTGCAAGCACCTGAAAATGTCATTAGTAAATTAAAGAATTCTAAGAAGTTTTTCAAAAATGTTTTATTAGCTCTATGAATAGATAAACTACTTATGTTTTTTTTTCTCTTTAATCAAACCATGTTAATCTTTTGTGAAACTTTATTTACATTAAAATCAACACTTTCCAATGCTTCCAATTTAAATGACAACCTTTTTATCTTCTTCCCTGCTGTTGGATTTTTGTGCTTTGCTTTTATTTTTCTTTGTAAGTCTTACACTGATTTGCAATATTTTCCTGTTTTTAATCAATTTCCAGTGTTATTTCTCCCCATCTTCACTGTGCTGGTTGCTATGGGCAACAAAATATTTTATATAAAGGAAAAAAAAAAAAATCAATCCTAAACAATGTAACCATGGCAAGAGGTGTTGCAAATGCTGACGAATTAGCAGGTATATATATATATATATATATATATAGCAAGACTAGTTCTCATATGATCATTGAAGTTAAGCAATATTCAGCCTGGTCAATGCCTACATGGGTGACCATTTGGGAATACCAGGTGCTGTAAGCTTGGATGTGTGCGTGATGTAATGGATAATGGCTCAAGATAGAAAATCTGAAAGCTGAGTTTTAATTCCAGTCGGGTTTGTTATATTCACTTATGTACAAACACTTGTGGGGAAAGACATGACTCTGCATCCTCTTCCCCCAGCTATGGGTTAATTAGTAGGACTTGTATCAGTAAATCATTATCTCCAAAAGATTCTTAGAATATAAAAATATTTTTTGGCTTTAAATAACCTGCAAAAGATTGATAAGCATGTCTAGAGATGTCTATACCTTTTCAACTTCAAAATGATAATAATCAACTTCAAAATGGACTTATTTTCAGGTAAAAAAATTAATCAACTCTGAAATGGATTAATCAACTTCAAATTGAGAATTAATAGAATACTAATAAATTTAATATTTCTTCTTTTATTGTTACTTAAAAGGGATATAAAAAAAATATAAACATTCCTAAGAAATTTATTTAAAAGATTACATCATCTAAGTTAATTACAGAGGGAAGTAATCTCTGTATTCCAGATACAAAGTTAGTGCAAGTCTCAAGGGAAATATTATTGTCTCAGAGATCATCGCTTCTAACTTGCTGAGGCGGAATTCTTTAGTAGTTAAAGATCCCTGGCCATCACCTCTTAAAATCCCAACAATTTAGTCTGCCATACTTCTTTTTAAGTCAGCTTTAATGACTGGCCAAACCTTTTCAATGGGATTTAACATCGGACTATAGGGGGCAAGTCTGAAAATTTGGTGTTGCCTAAATTCATCCTCCTCCACAACTTCTTCAATTGAAGTATGGCAAGGAGCGTTATCAATAACTAAGACAACTCCCCTTTCATAAATTTCATTTGCCTTTCTAAGGAACTCCCTGGTCCATTCTTTCACATCCTCTTTTTTTGAAAGAACCTCTTTTAATTTTATGATGAATTAATCCATTATTACTAATACATCCAATAACATGGATGTTATTTCCCCTGGATCCAGCTGCGACTCTAGTACACCTCATGCCTTTTTTACATTGATCCATTTTGAAGTTGAAAAGTTATAGTTCTTATTTTTAGTACTGCTCCTTTTCATTGAGTCCAAGTACATATTGTTTGGCCCAGGAAAATTCCCAATCCAACACTTTAATCCACCTGGGTATTGTCTCATTGGATTAAAAAAATGTTAAAATTTGGTGACAGAGTAATTGTTGATTAAAGTAATTTGGTGATTAAAACATTGGAATTTGGGGACATAGTAATTACGAGTTCAATCCCTGGGCCAGGCAGTGTGTACTCAATGGAAACAGGGTGAGCAATAACTAAGCAATATTAAAAATAAAAAAAAAATAGATGAGATATCCCTCGACATGGTCAGTGGAATGAGAACAATCTACCCCCATAGATTAAATAAAGGGTTCAGTTCAGAATTCCCCATAGGTTGCCCAGGTCGATATATATCTGAATGTCCAAGGGCAAAACGGCCAAAAGTAGTCCAAATGGAAATAACATTAGCAATGCTCTCTAGCCAGATTCCACAAAGAGGCAGGGACTTTAAGTTTATACAACCACAGTGATTTGCTAAGTAAATTCTATATAAAAATAAAGATTCATTTTATTTTTTAATTTAAATTTCTAGTTTGCCTTGTATCTTACATCTTCATTTTTTTTTTTATCATTATTTATTTATTTATTTATTTTTTTTGTTTTTCAAAAGTTATTTTTCAGAATACCATTAATTTAAACAGAAAGGGCAAACTTTATGGAATACTTTAGTAAAACTATAGAAGTACAAAATTTCTTATTGATATAAAGATAGTTTGTATTTTTTTTTTTTTTGCCTTTTGAAATTCAAAGTTTTTTGTATAGTTTTTTTCATTGACAACTTAAACATTTTTCTATTTTCATTTTAAGGTAAACATTTTTACACTGCATTTAATAAAAGCTTTTTTTTTTTTTTTTTTTTTTTCTTCTTTTGGTGTTGGTTTCTGCTGTTCTCCTGCCTGCCGCTTCCACTAATCCCCAAAATGCGATGCCCTGGTTTTATCTGCATCAACCACACTTTTTTTTTTTTTTTTTTTTTTTTTTTTTTTGTTTTTGTCGGCTCGTTTTTGTTTGTGGTTTTTGTCCTTAATGTGACAGCAACTTTGCCGTCTGGGAAGTTCTGCGAGAAGATGAATTTAAGCCCCTAAAGAATGCTGAAGGGAAACCAAAAGACACACCTTCAACATGCCTTCATGCACTACATAATCTTCACCATCGTTATGTGCTCAACGCAGGAGGAAAATTTATACAGAAAAATGGCACACCCATTCCAGACATACCCAGGTAAGACAATTCACTTCTGTAAAAAGTTTAATTTTTATTTTTTCTCTTTATTCTTCAAAACATTTAGTCATTAAATTAACTTGTACTTATTAGGCTTGATTTAGTCTGGCACAAGTGTGGAGACATTTAGTGAGGATTATACTTATTAGATTAGTAATGATTTGTGAATCAAGCTTGCTATGAATTATTCTGTCATTCACTTTTTCTAAGCATGTATTTTTAGCTCTTCCTCTTCATCCTGGAGAGAAAAAAAGATTTTAGTAAAAATTTTGCATGTATTACTCTTTCCTTTTCCTTTCTCTTTAATGGTTGATATTTGATGACTGACTTACCAAAATGCTTGATGGCTGCTAGCAGCAGAGTAGAGAATAAACCATGTCCATTTAGATTGAAGGCTCCAAAATTATACCCCATTGGATTTGCCAAGATAACCCAAAGATGAATAGACTAGAATTAACCAATACAAGATACCGCCACCCTCCACTAAACATGAAAAACCAAATGAGAGCAATCTCCTACCACTTAGAGATTGAATAAAGGTCCAGGTCCAAAATTCTAAGAAGGTTATACACACCTGAAGGCCAGGAAAAAAAAACAAAAAACAAAGATTGAAATGTTACAACAATGCACAAGATGAGCTTGCTGGTCCAAAATTGAAAACCATAGAGTAATGTCCACATAACTATTTTAACAGAATGATGGAAGATCTGAATGAAAAAGCTTTGCTAGGAAAAGTGGATTTTAGAAAATATGAAGTTAACTTTTGTAACTACTGCTCTTTTTTTTCATTTCATCCCAAGCAAGGTGCTAAAGCCACTAAGATGCAAGGGTTACTGAGTGTGAAAAAATTTGAGAAAAAATTATTAGGTAGAGAGGCCAATAAAAGAGGAATTAAGGAGACAGATGACAATTTATGTGGCATTTATATTTTTGAAGATCAAAGTTGACTGGGAAGCAAGAAGATGGAAGAGAAATGTGAGAGAAGAAACTGTTTAAACAGAACTTTATTATAGTTGTATCTATCAATATCAACTGTAAAATGATGAGATCTACCTGCCAATCTAGTACTGCACTTAAATTCATAAAGTTGAGGTACCAAAGAAGAAAGCTCATCAGAATAATTACCATGAAAATATTTATAGAAAAGGCTCAGGATAGCTATGTTACAGCAATGGGAAAAGTGAGTGAAGCCAAGATGTCAGGTCAGGATTGATAATATTGCAGATTTTTTGGATTTGACAGCAATATTCAATGCATGGATGAATGATAGGCATATAAATGTGTAAAATAAATTCTGGTTTGAAAAATTGTCTAGCATGACACAGTGAACTAACATTCCTAGGAGGAGACTTAACAGTTGATTCAATATAATCTTTCTATTTCATGTCAACTGAAAATGTTAGCACATGAAGGTGCAATGAGTTAATCTTCTGAAGGTTAGCATCAGCCATGCTGATGGAAGGTAAAAAGTGTTCTCTAAGACATTTCTCAGTTTCATTTTAGAGGCATTAAAATTAACAAGCCATTACTTCTCCTAGTTAACAACAGATTGAAGGTTATTTTTTGAGATCAGCTGCCAAAGACAGGAGTAAATAATGTCATCAGCATACATACTGAGTCAAGAATTGATAACATTGGGAAGGTTGTTGATGAAAATTAAGAATTAAGTAGGCCCAAGAATAGTCTTATGGGACAACTGCATTAATGTAAAAAGATCTAGAAGAGTGGCCATTCAAGATAACTTTCATTTTGTGATTAGATAAAAATTAAAATCAAATCACTTTGTCCAGAAATCCCATAACCTTTCAACTTGTGAAGAAGGCCAACATGCCAAACCTTGTCAAATCCTTTCAAGATATTCAATGTAATCGTCTGAGATTCACATTTTTTATCTAAGGCTTGACATTCTTTCAAAAATAGCCATTAACACATCAGCAGTTGATTTAGAGAAGCAAATACCATATTGTTTGTCTGAAAGAAGATCCTGCAAGGTGAGATACTTAACCAACTAGTTGATTAGAACCTCTAGTACTTTGTCAAAATAGGTAAGGTTTATAGGCCAATAGTCAAAAGTATCACACAGTTCACCTAAGTTCTTAAAAATAGGAACTACAAAAGAATTTCCAAAAAGCAGGAAAGCAAAAAGCAGCAAGGCATTTATTGTAGTTTAAAGGAGCACATTTTGTTAAATCTATTGCAGGGATACGATCAAGACCGCATGCTTTATAGGGGGATCCCGTTTAGAGATGATAGCAGAAGACTTGGTATATATTACAGAGTAGACTCATTTCTAAGTGGAAAGTCAAGGTTGTTTCAGATGAGTCAAGTGTAGAATTGAAAAAGAATTCATAAGCAAAACATTTTGCTTTATCAGCACAAGACAATGACAACTCGGATTGAATGCAGAGAGGAAGACTTACCTTTATTTAACACATTATTACAAAGCTGCCAGTAGTCATGAGAACCAAACTTGTTAGAGGCTACATTGTGCTTTATTCTATGAGCAAACAAAGACTTGTTCTCTTTGAGGACATGTCTACAATTATTTCAAGCAGTCACAAAAATTTGTTGTGATCAGAACTTTCAAGTTGGTAAAGCTGAAAAAAGTGATTCCTGTAGGCTATAGCAGCTAAACAGGCAATATACTGGTAACAGAAAGAAGTCTAATAGAGGAGTAGAAAAAAAATGAGATACTACAACATGATCTGAATTTCCAAGAGGACAATTACAATTTTCATCAGGAGAGGAGATAAGGAAGCATGTCAATCATAGGGAAATCTATTTGACTGAATGACTAAGCAATGGAAAAACTGAAAGTTTGAATACTGACAACATCAATAATATTAGAATGCTTAAATCACGTGACATGATGTTTACAGATGAATGTAAGGAGCTATTTCTATACTGTCAGACCTTTTGTCTAATATGTTAAAGTTGTGAGAAGAAATGGAAGAATAAATGAAAGAGAGACAGCTAACAGAATGCAATAAAGAAAGTCAAAAACATGTGAAAAAATCACCAGACTCTAGACTTGCCATTGGAGAATTTTCCCAGTTGTAAACACCAGGGCCAAACATGTATCCTAGAATGTTTTTGACAAAGAGAAAGTTAACCTGGAACAGAGAACTCCTTGCTAGCAATAAAAGAGTTTAAATTAGTTTTACAAAAACTAAAGATATAAAAGATATCTCAGGAACATTTCAAGACAAAAAATTTTACACTACAGAAATTGGTATGAATATTGTGGAAAGAAAAATTCAGCAGGGGAGTTTTTTTTTTTTTACTGGTTTCATGAGAAGATTATTTTCATTTTTAAAGAAAAAAAAGCTAAAATAATTATCACTGCCCTGTCCATCAATGGCAATACAAACTGGACACAGTGGCTAAGACTAAAGTGTGATGTGGCCTCAAGGTTGTCCATTAGAAGGGACACCTGTCCATGTGTGACATAGCACTGCACTTACCCTTATATTATGTTATTGTTGACCAGAGCATTGTCTCTAAGTGCTAACAAAGACTTTGAGTTTCTTACTTACCAGTTAGATTCAGTAACCAAAAAACTTTCAACTTTGTGCCCTCAAAATGAAAAGTCACAACTGATCAATCAGATCACCAAAACTTAAGACAGTCAAATCATCAAAAGCCATGGAACAAAGGACCCAGCAAACAGCAAACCAGGGATAAACCTCTACTTATCTTATTTCATGGACTTTAATTTTTATTTTTTATTTAATGGGGTAAACAAACACATCTGATAAACCAATCAGTAAATAAGAAAATAAATATTATATATATATATATATATATATATATATATATATATGCCCAAATTTATGCTCATAAATGTTCCTGTAAACCCTAAAAAAGATCAGAAAAAATTTAAATTGAAAAGTAGTGAGTCTTGGAGTGACTTGCTGTCACTTTGTTCCATATAATAGTATTGTCAAAGTAATATGAAAACAAAAAATAGTATCTTTTTATTTTCTTCAGTTGAGGTTTTTCTTATTGATCATAAAAAGAAATTGCAGAAAAATTGATTTCTTTTTTCCATTACAAAATAAAAATTCTCTTCACTAAGAAACTGTGAGGCACTTTGTCTTTGACCATTAATTAAACATCATAGAAATTTTCTTTTCAAACAAGTCTATTATAGAAAAAGAAAAAAATCCTTCCTTTTAGGATTTAAAAGATGTTAATCAGAAAAAACTAATTTAATATAATTTTTAACCTCTAATGTAAAACAAATACCTTATATTAAACCTTCTGCCGCAATAAAATTTCACATTTTTTAAATCACAATACCACAATTATGAATATCTAAAATCTTACCATGATAAACATTGAATTAAAGTAAAAAGTCTTCAAGGCTAATTTGAAGCATTTTTCAAGGTGTGTGTGTTGGGGGTGGGGGTTAATGAAAGCAGAAAAATATTCATTGTCATCAACTCTTCTCTTGTACCATGCAAAGAGATTTACTTTTTTTCAACTATTAAAAGATGCCCTATTCTTGCTTGCCAAACTTGCTCGATTTGATAATGTGATTCAAGCTGTTGTCAGTCTGCATGTAACTTTGTTGTATCAAATTTAGTTGCATCTTTCTGTTGACTCTACCTCCTCCTCCCCCTCCCTTCAGCATCTGTCACTTTCTTTGCTGCTCCTGCATGTCTGTCTAATTACCCTTATCTTTTTTTTTTCTATTCCTTCCTTTTCACAGTAAAAATTGCCACAGCCACTCGGCTGCCACCAACAGGTGAGTATTTTGTGATCTCAAGTAACAATCAACTTTGATGCTCATGTTTTCTCCGCAACTTGTCACCTGCTTACAACTTCATGTCTTGCTCAATAATTGAATGTTTAAAAGAAAAAAAAAAAAACAAACTTGGTCCCTGTGAGGCTTTTTTCAATCTATAGTAAAATATTTCAGTCATTAAATTGGAACTGAAGCCACCTTCCTAACTTAAAATGTATACCCCCCACCCTGTCAAACAAATGATTTGTCTTATCATTTATATCATTAACATTTACATTAAAGAGTAAAAGAAATCCTGCAGCATAAAAAATTCCTTTAAAATAAAACCTGATTGATTTGAAAAAACATTTCAATTCTTCTTATCCCTCACCTTATTACATCTTGGTCAGTGGGTTCTTCAGGGGATGGATCCGATTGTCTCCAGACTAGGCATTCTTACTTAAATCTAAAGTTGATAAGCACATTTTTTTTTTAAATTCTAATAAAATACAAAATGAGAAATGTCAGGGAACCCACCAGCCAAAATATGATTTAAGAATTACAATATGAAAAATATTAATCAAAATTATATTTCTCGTATGTAACTTTCAAATATTGATCCACTTTTACCAACCTTTCTCTTTAATCTTCTGCAATTCTGGCCAAACTGTTGCAGATATTTTTTTTTTTTCTTCTTTCATGCTGCTTTTATTACGATTTTTCTTGAAAAATATCCATAAAGGTTTATCTAAATTGTTTATTTCAAGACTTTTCAGTTGTTTTTAACAAAGATGGTTTACAATAAGCAAAAAACAATTTGTAAAAACTTAAGAATTTTCCCTTGTGCAAACTTCTCATATGGAACTATTTATCAAAAACTTTTCATATATATAAGGAACATCAAATGAAAGCACATCAAATTTATTTTGTTCAAAGTTTCTCACTAAATCTAAATTGAAACTCGACAAGTAAAATACCTTCAATCATTTTATTCCCTTTACATTTCATAAATTATTTCGGAGCAAAAAACCCCCAAAAAACTTATGACTTTACAATAAATTGTGCTTATAAATATTCATAAAGCTTAACTAGCTTAATCACAGGGCCACATGGAGAGGAAGATTGTGTTGTAGCAAATCTCTGGCTGTCGAGTGTAGTTTTAAATCATTTTTTTTAATTTCTTGATATTAACTAAAATAAATTTAGAACAAAAATGGGGTTTAGGAAAATTGCAACAGGAATTATCTAAGTGGAGAAGTGAAAATAAGCATTTAAAATCCTGACTTTCCTCAATGTTCAAATATTGATGGGTGGGGTTATGTCCACCACTAAATAGGAATTAGATTGCATTATGAATTTATTAGTTTGCATGTTGGGACAAAAGTGTTTCAATGATGGGAATTTTTTTTGTTTGTACTTATGAGATTGGAAATAAATATTACTATCAGGAAATACAAAATGTCCCCTAAACATTTTTTATATTTGCTTTGGGAGAGGGTTTTAAATCATCTTTAAATTTGTAATTTCATATCAAGAAAGTTTTAATCTATTTTCTACCCACAAAATACAAAGTCAATAAAAACAAATTATTTTTCATTTGTTACTGAATATTTTTAATTTTTAAAATTGTTTTTATTTATAACTTTAATTATCTAATGATCTGTAAAATTCTGTGATTATCACAAATCATTGTTTATTGTCTTTACTGAAATATTCTGGCCTCTGACCTCGTTAAGTGGAAGTTGAATCAGGATTTTTTTTTTTTTTATACATACCAAAAAAATAATTTCACTCAATCATCTCAGATGAAACTTGAAACCCAAAGAAGGCTGAAGAATACATTGGCCCAAAATGCTAAAGTGAAAAAAAAAATCTGTTGAAGAGATCAAAGACACTTACATTTTTTCATAGCCTTTTCACATCTGAATACAAATTGAAAAATTTTAAATGACTAAAAATTTTGCAAGATTGATTATAAACTTATAAATAAAAATTTTTCCTTAAACAAATCCATAAGAAGCAATGTGTTCTGAATGTGTGACTGAAAGGAAAATTTAATTGAAATATTTAAATATGAATTTAAGTAAAAACAAAAATTTTATTTGATTGACAATGTTACTTGAATTTAAATGTAATGTAAAATTTGTGTTTTTAAGTAGAATTATACCTTTTCAACTTCAAAATGATAATAATCAACTTCAAAATGGACTTACTTTCAGGTAAAAAAAATTAATCAACTCCAAAATGGATTAATCAACTTCAAATTGAGAATTAATAGAATACTAATAAATTTAATATTTCTTTTATTTTTACTTAAAAGGGATATAAAAAAAATATAAACGTTCCTAAGAAATTTATTTAAGATTACATCATCTAAGTTACTTACAGAGGGAAGTAATCTCTGTATTCCAGATACGAAGTTAGTGCAAGTCTCAGGGGAAATATTATTAATTGCCTCAGAGATCATTGCTTCTAACTTGCTGAGGCGGAATTCTTTAGTAGTTAAAGATCCCTGGCCATCACCTCTTAAAATCCCAACAATTTAGTCTGCTATACTTCTTTTTACGTCAGCTTTAATGACTGACCAAACCTTTTCAATGGGATTTAACATCGGACTATAGGGGGCAAGTCTGAAAATTTGGTGTTGCCTAAATTCATCCTCCTCCACAACTTCTTCAATTGATGTATGGCAAGGAGCATTATCAATAACTAAGACAACTCCCCTTTCATAAATTTCATTTGCCTTTCTAAGGAACTCCCTGGTCCATTCTTTCACATCCTCTTTTTTTTTTTTGAAAGAACCTCTTTTAATTTTATGATGAATTAATCCATTATTACTAATACATCCAATAACATGGATGTTTTTTCCCCTGGATCTGGCCGCGACTGTAGTGCACCTCATGCCTTTTTTAGAGCGACCTTCTCTTCTTGAAATATGGAGATTAAAATTAGTTTCATCCATATAAAGAATTGGCACACTTTGAGACTGAAATTCTGATAAAGCTACTGCGTAATCCTTACATTTCACTTTATTGACATTATTATTGGCATCTTCTGGTTCATAATGAACCGCTTTTTAAAGTAAAGGCAATGGAGTCCAAGTGCTTTCTTATGCATTCTTTCGTCACACGAACCTCATACTTTTCGACCAACTTATTTACAATGTCTTGAAGAGTGACCCTAGGAGAGTTTTCAATTAATTCAGCCATAAAATTCTTATGCTCTTGTGTAATTTTATATTTTCTTGCTCCTCCCCTAGAGTCACTCTTATCAGCACCCTGGTCTAACCAACGGTACACTGTTGGCAGAGGCACACCAATTGTTCTTGCCAGGTCTTTTCAATTTCCTGCTGCGGCATGTGCAGCTAAAATCTGGGCCTTTTTTTCACCAGCCACAGTTTTCTTGAGGTAAGTCCTCTTTGAAGCTGTTGCTAATTCTTCTTCAGCTTCTTCTTCAGCTTCTTTTATAGAGGTTTCTCCAGCATCATCATCAATCATCATTTTTGCCCATACGAGACTTTCTCCTCCTACTTTTACTGTAGGCTCACCCAATGCTTTCTTGGCCTCTAAGTTGTTTGTATTTTGGTTTTTTCTTCATCTATATAATGAAGACGAACAGTCAATTTCCTTACTCATGGGGTAAATTAATTGAAAAAATAATTTTCAATTTACCAAAAAAAAATATCTCAATTTGAAGTTGTTTATTCTTATTTTGAAGTTGTTTATTCTTATTTTGAAGTTGTTTATTCTTATTTTGAAGTTGTTTATTCTTATTTTGAAGTTGTTTATTCTTATTTTGAAGTTGTTTATTCTTATTTTGAAGTTGTTTATTCTTATTTTGAAGTTGTTTATTCTTATTTTGAAGTTGTTTATTCTTATTTTGAAGTTGTTTATTCTTATTTTGAAGTTGTTTATTCTTATTTTGAAGTTGTTTATTCTTATTTTGAAGTTGTTTATTCTTATTTTGAAGTTGTTTATTCTTATTTTGAAGTTGATTGTTTTTAGGTTTTTGACATTTTCTCAATTTGGAGTTGATTTAATTCATTTTGGAGTTGATTGATTTTTTTTTACTTGAAAATAAGTCCATTTTGAAGTTGAAAAGGTATAGACTTAAAAATTTTAGCTCTTAGATTTACAGCTTAAAAAAAAATTCAGTATTTTCTAAGATAACAAGCAAAAAAAGATGAATGATTAAATTTTGTAAGAAATTAAATAAATTTAAATGAATTTTAATTTTTTTTATTTCAGCCAAGCCAATGACTGTGATGATTCAGTTGTTGAATGCGAAATCTCACCACTTGTCTCATATGCAGGGGAGGTAAGCGCAAAACGTTGGGGTAGGGACTGTTTTTGTTTATTTTAATCCAGAAACTAAGTTCCTATTATGTAAATAAAGATTCTATTTGTTTGAAAACTGATTTCTAATATGGACAAAAGCACTGTTCAGTGAGAAAAAACAAGTATTTTTTTGTTTTGTTTTTTTGTTTGTTTTGTTTTTTTGTTTGTTTTGTTTTTTTTTTTTTTTTTTTTTTTTGTTTTTTTGTTTTTTTGTTTGTTTTTTTTTTTTTTTGTTTTTTTTTTTTTTTTTTTTTTTTTTTTTTTTTTTTTTTGTTTTTTTTTTTTTTTTTTTTTTGTTTATTTGTGTATGCGTGCATGCATGCCAAATGAAGTTCAGTGCATTTGGGGTGGGATGACAATTGGAACAAAATTGCTAGAATAAAAATTTTCAGAATCAGCATTTTAACTTATTAAAGTTGAAGAAATAATTTAATTAAAATGAATATCAGAATGAAATCCTTCATCTCTAATGGAGTTGCCCCCATTATATTCTCTACAATAAAAGTCCTTTGATGTTTTTGGCTGTTGAATGTAGATAACTGACAGATATTTTCCTGTTACTTGAAAGCAAAAAATTATGAAAAATGAATGTAGAAAATGTGTTGTCCAATGGTTGGCCAACATATTTTTCTTGTATCACATATTAATTTGTTTTTGTTTTTTTAGGGTCTGGAGAAACTTGTGAAAGGAAAGTCATTTGTGCCACCTCTGCTGATAAATGAAGACAGGATTAATGATGTGTAAACTGCCACCCATGTTTTTCTTTTGCTGCTACTTCCTTTTATCAGATGTACATAAAATTTGGGACTTCCTTCTGGACACCTTTCTTTTTTCAGTTTCAGAGTAAAACTTGAAAATCTTCAATAAAAGTAAAAAAAAATCTGGCCAACAAAATCTTTAAAAACGAATCCTTAAAATATTGACCTGGATTTCCCATTAAAAAGGGGTTTTGTTTGACCAGACAAAACTTTGAATTATTATTTTACTTAAAAATTTAAACCACAACAACAGTTTGTTGAAAGCCTTTTTTCTTTTTTTTTTCCTAAAGACATTCCAGATTTGTGTCAAATGAATTTTTCTCTTGCTGCTGATCTTTTCTCAGATGAAATTGATTTATTTTTAATCATGAAGTAACAAATCATTTCCCCATTTTGCACAAAATCTTTTCCTTCAATGTTTTCTTTGACTATTTCATTCAGATTTTCTTCAAAAGACCAAAGTAAAACATTTCTCACCAATTCTTTGCTACAACTTTTTATGCTGTTATTTCTTTCCAGTCACACAGTTTTTTTTTTTTTTTTTTTTTTTTCAGTCATTAACAACCAAGTTGGTTTGCTCATTTCCTTCACTCAACCAAATTAAATTTCCAACTTAAAGATAGACATTAAAATTTCCTTAAAATATTGTTTGAAATTTTGAGAATTTTGGGAATTTTCTTTCAATGTCTCATCACTCAAAAGTCTACCTAAATAAGCTCAGCGGATGAACAGATCAAATATTTTCAAAAACATTAAGATTTAATATCAAACAAAACTGACAATAGAGAACATAACTGTTCCCTTAAGATTTCTAATTTTTGTGTTTGTTAAATAAATACTCACCTATCCTCAAAGCATGACACAATTTGAGAAATAAAATTCCAATACAAGTTTAATGTTAATCTAAATTTTCATTTCCTCTTCATAAACTACATGCATATCTGATTGTCTATAAAATGTTATTTTTATCAAGCGTTTAATATGTGTCCTCTTTGCTTGTCGTAATTTTAAAGTTGAACAGGAAATTAAACCATAAACTTTGCTTTGAGACTTAATTCAAGACACTATCTAAATTGTTCAGGTTTTACCAAAATAAGCCCTATTAATCTTAATACCTAAATATTTTTGACAATTGACAAGTACTTGCCCTTCAATTATAATGTCAAAGGTGAGTGAATCTGGCCACAGTGAATTTATTTTTAAGACTTAGATTCTTGTTTTATAGGAAAAGCAAAAATAATTCAATTGATTAGCACTTCCTCTTGATGTTTACTAAAAGATTAATTTTGGTTTCTAAAAGTGGTTAATTTTCTGAGAAGATTTCATGCATCATGGCATTAAATCGTATCCTCCCAATTTACTGGATTTCATTCTGGAAAGAAAAAAAGAAAAAGTTTTACTTCAATATTATAAAAATATTCCATAATTAAAAATTTTATTCTAACCTAAGAAATTTCCATTGTTGCTAATAAAACCCATTTTGATCTTAAGGTTAAGCACATTTGAACCCCCCCAAACCTTATTTGCTTGCTAAATTCACAATACCAACACTAACTATTACAGCCATTACACCCTTTCATTAAAAAAAAAAACAAAAAAAAAAACTGTTTGGTTAAACCAAAATTTGAATTTAGTTTAAACCTGAAAATTGCATCAACCAAAATGATGCTGTAAATGAGTCTGACGATGTTTCATTTATAAAATGAAACAATTACAAACTATAAACATAATGTCCTTATTGAAAATTTGTGAAAGTCAATGTTTATATTTTTGACTCTCTCTCAAAAAAAAGTTACTTCTCTACCCCCAACCTTGTAAATGTGATAAGTTATTATATACATATGAAGATAGTCGCAATGAGAACTTTTTTTCTTATTCAAACTTTGTTTTTCATGACAAAATGGTTCACTTAAATTGAATTTATAGTAATTTTTATCTGCTTTAATTTTGTTGGATCTTTTAATTTAAAGGATTTATTTTTTTCTTGCTTAACATCAAATTTCTGTTTCTTTTAAAAAGAATTTCTTTGTTACATTTGCAATTTTTCACTGTTTATTTCTTTTTTTTATTAATGACATTTTTGAATTCCAACTAATTGAGATTCTTTTTCTTTCCATTTAATCTCATCTTTTTTGCTTGGATTTCTCTGAAAATGTTTTTTATTTTTATATTATTAGGTACACTTAAAAACTAGCCAATAATTTACTGTTCTTTTCATCAAGGGAAAAAATGTCCATAAGATTTTATTTTATAAAAGGATTTCTGTAATTTCTTAAAACCAGTAATGATATTTTTAAAAACAAGAGTAAATTTTAAATGTTTTGAAACCAGTTTTTAATAGATTTATTCAAAATACGTTGATGCGAGAATAGCATCATATTTTGTGTGCCAAGTTCAAATTTTAACAGTTTGGTCCATTTACTTTGAACTAATGTTCTGAGAAAAGGCATGACTCCATCCTCCTTCCAGCTACGGGTTAAATAGTATGGCAAACTGGGGCCCTTTAACCTTGGGTAGCAGGCAAACTAATCTTTAGATTGAAATAAAAGATTTTTTGTTTGGCCAAGTCAAAACATATTGTTTTAGTCTGCTGATTTAGAACTTTGGTGTTTTTATAGAGTATCCCCAACCCAGCACTTTTTAGTACCATTTTAAAAGAAAAAAAAAATTACTGAATGGAGATTGGGATGCATGAAAATTAAAATGCTGGCTATCAAACATTGGTCAGTAGATTTCATTTCTTTGTAAAAACTAACAAATATTGAGTCTAAGAGAATGTTTTATTTTTGTCCTTCTGTTGCAGTCATCAATGAGAGGTTCTTCATATAAATGGTGGAGGATATCAACTAAATATTTTAGAAAATATTTTCTAAATGCTTCTTACTGTTTATTTACTGAGCAATGATAAAAAGCAAAAATCATTAGAGATTTTTTATTAAATTTATTCTGAAGGTTTTAAGCTTTTTACCAAATTTAATATTGCAAAAGCCATCAGTTTATCATGAACTATTACATTTGAGGAAACATTGGATTGGAAATTATGTAACCAAATTCAGATTAACTTAACATTTGAAGATTTTATGTTTTCCTGTGAGTATTTTTTTTCATCTTTGCATTTTTAATTTATCAAAATATTTTAAGGTTAATACAGTATGAATGGTATAAAATCTTAGGTTGATTAATGGCGAAATGATTTGTTTATTCTTAACCAATTCAAACCAACATCAAATAAAGAGGCAAATGTCTCAGTACTGTCAAATATCTTATATTCTGCAAAAATAATTTTACTTGATCTTTTTCTGATTTGTCACCAGAGAATCTCTAATAAATTTCTTTCCTTTTAAACTGAACATCTTTTGTATCTGGTAACATCATTTTTTGTCAGACAATCTTTTTATTCTTTCTGAATAAAAAGATTGTCTGACAAAAAAAGATGTGGCATTTTAAGTCTATTGATCAATTTCAATGAAACTCTTTCCTCCTCCTCCTCCTCCATCTACAATAGGCTTTTTTAAGTCTCATCATCATCATCATCATTATTAGTCCCATAACTGTTTGATCATAAGGTCCCCCTGACCATCTCCCTCCATATGTCTCTGTTGCATCCTATGTCTGGATCTCTGAAGGATCTCCCAGTCCATTCATTGGCATTGTCAGCCTTCTCCCTCTCCCTCTCCCTCTCTCTCTCTCCCCACCCTCCAAAGTGATGATACTTTATAGGACTGTAGTGGAAAGATGATTGGTTTTTGTGACTTTAAAATCTATCATGAAGTATAAATATATATTTGCAAACACCTTTGCCAGCCTCCCCCCCACACACACACACATGCATATACCAAAACCATAGACAGAAATTAAAATTCAACCTTGAATTCTACTTAGATTATCATTTACCTTCATTCTCTACCAACAAAAACATTAATACTAACACATTAAGTTTTTCAAAAATTTTAAATTATCACATCCTACTATAAATAATAATAATAATAATATCCCTAGGATGTCTTTATATTTTACTTAGACACGTTTTATTTCTTTTCATTTTTTGTCAATATCTTCAAAATAAATTATATCGCTTAAAATGGTGTTTTTAAAAAATGCACCACTTTTGCTGTGCTATAATATTAAACAGATTTTTTCATTCTATAAGTTATAAATATATAATAGACAGACTTAAGTAATTTTCTACATGCACACACACAAACACTTTTCAGTAGCTTTGTATTAAGTCTTGAAGTGTGTTGACTAAAGGATTTCAAAATATGTTTAAGTATTTAACCAAAACCCCCACCCCTTATATAGCCAACAACACTTTTCTTTTACTAAATGGTACAAATTTGAATAGAAGTTTTATCTGTGTTTAAAGTTTTGAGATCTGATATTGTCTTTATTCTAAGAATTATTCAGACTGGAATTCTTTTTCCTTTTAAATAATTCTTTTTGCTCATCCCTTCTGTTTTCTTTAGGGGTTGCATATTTTTTTTTTTTTTTTTTTTTTTTTTTTTTTTTTCCAATTATATTTGCCAAAAATTCCAATTCAAATGAAATGGATGGAAAATATACTTGTGAAAACATTCTCTGACAAAAAATTTCTATAAATAACAAATAATTACAATTTATTGTCATGTAAATTTAATTTCCACTGGCAGAAACTTAAGGGATCTGGTTTTGAATAAAAACAAATGACCTCAAATTATGTCAATGAACTGAATTATGTTGACATGTAGTTTTTCTTTCTCTTGCCAATTTATAAAAGGTACTGAATAAACTTTAATGTTTTTTTTTTGTTTTTTAAATTTTTCTTTAGAAATTTGAATAAAAATTTTTGTTTTTGTATGGTGGCAGCAGAATAGTGAGACATCAGCAGCTTTAGCCTCAGCTGTTTAAAGAAATGGAGGTTGTTAAATTAGAAAATCACTTTAAAATAATTTTTTGTCCTTTTTAAGAAACATCCATTGTATGTACTTGTATTAAGATAATTCTAAA